AATTTGGTTATATAAGGGTCATCAAATTCTTTTGACCAACGCTTTATAAACCCAAGAACACTCATAGCTTTATTGACTGTCGACATTATGTGGCAGTCAAATTTAAGCTTCGGGTCCAGAAGAACGCCTAAATCATTTACTGAATATATACGGTCAAGTGGCAAGTTCTGAAGCACATAACTTGTAAACGTTGGAGTAACCCTATGAATGGTCATTACGTTACATTTCAGGCAGTTCAAATTTAAGAGGTTATACTCACACCATACTTGAAAATTATCAATGTCTGATTGTAAGCCGAAACCAGACTCCATAGACTCTCATCAGAATACATTAGTACACGAGAATTTGTTATAAACAGAGTAAACAGCAAGGGGCCCAGATGACTACCCTGGGGCACTCCAGATGTCACGTGGATCATTTTAGAAACAGCGTTCTTAAATATAACCCTCTAAGTCCTCCCATTCAAATAACTTTAAATCCAAGTTAAAAGATTACATGGAAACCCAAGCAAGTCTAGTTTAAATAAAAGAAGAGAGTGGTTAATGGAGTCAAAGGCTTTACTGAACTCTATATATATAACGTCGGTCTGCATTTTATTGTTAAATCCATTTATTACAATAGATGACAATCCAAGTAAATTGGTGGTAGTCGATCTTCGCTTAACGAAACCATTCTGACACGGTCATATTAGCGAGGAACATAAATGTTGCAAATTAGATGTGATAATAAGTTCAAAGGCTTTTGGAATTGCCGACAATTTAGAAATACCTCTATAATTCTGGGCATCCGCCTTCGCCCTTTTTTTGTGAAGTGGAACAATAAAAGGGTTTAAGGGCTGTTGTCTTGTCCGTCCTGCAAAGTAAAATTTAGCTAATGGTAAGATAAATTTATCCAGGTTGCCAATCGGTTTTCTATTTCTCGACCGTCATTTTAAACTCAAAATAAAAGGCGCACTTATTCGAGACTAGGTGGCAACACCACAACAGAAGAGTTAACTAATTTTCAAAAATTAGTCGAAAAACTATCGAAAATTATAATAAAACAGTCATACTAACAGATGATATAAACAAAATTTCAAACTTATAAAAAACAATGTCGGCAGAAAGAAATTATACCGATGAACAGGAAGCAATTCTTGTAGAACCGGGGTCTTCGGAATCGCCTCCGGGAGATTGAATTCTTCATGCGTGCAATCTTTGACTCCTATGACTTTCGGAAACTTGGCTATTTTAATTATAAATTTTTAATACGCCACTACTTTATAAATTATTTTGAAAAAGACGCCATAGCAAAAGAAACTTCCTTAACAACTCGACTGGCTGTGGCCACGCTAACACCACTAAAATCGCCTACAGTTATAAAAAAACTGCCGCTTGCGTAGAATCTGAAAGCTATTAGAAGCTTAACCCTGTAATAATGGGTTTTGATTACACAGGCCAACAGTGTTTTTGGTGCAGCCCTATGGGCATTAAGTTGTGTTAATATAGACGGATATAAGCATATCTGCATACTTAGTTTTCGAGTTTAACGGGTGGTATTTGTGCAATCTCGGTTTGAAAAAAGTAGCAACATTTTATATTTTCAGTTAAGATATCTTCGAGGGTCTGTGCTCAGTTGTAATAAAACCTATGCCAAAAAATTGCTTAGATGCCCTTCTACATAATTGCATTTAAGGTTCCATCATTATTTGAGTTAATAAAAGCCTATGAGCCATTGAAGTAATTTGTTCACCTCTATTTACAACCAACTTGATGCGGTGAACAGGCTTAAAAAAATACAAGAAAAAATATGTGCCCTAAAATATTTTACATGCATCTAGAGGCGTCTTTTCCCGAATTTTTGAGATAAATCCCACTATTGTACTTCGAAAAATGGAATTTATAGAACTTTTTCCGTAAGAATGGGAAAAGTAACAAGTATTTTAGAGTCACTCTTACGTAACGAGTGTGTCGTGATTTTACACAGTAGGCTTTTTAAAGATAACAGTGGCGTCGCCTTAAAATTGTGGTGGGGATTTTTTTTAAGGCATATTAACCCCTTAAAAATATAATTTGTCTATGTTCGGCGCCTACTGCTAACCAAATTGAAAGGCACATTTTTGCGAATGTGTCAGATATTTATGTAAAATGGGATTTAAAAACAGTTGTTACTTTTTAAGTTCTTACGGAAAAAATTCTATAAATTCCATCCTTCGACGTACAATGGTCTTATTTGTCTTAAAAATTCGGTGAAAGACGCCTTTAGATGCCTGTAAAATATTTTAGGGCATATATTTTTCCTTGTATTTTTTTAAGCGTGTTCACCGCATCAAGTTGGTTGGGAATAGAGGTGAACAAATTACTTCAATGGCTCATAGGCTGTGATTGACTCAAATTATGATGGAACCTTAAGTGCAATAATGTAGAAGGGCATCTAAGCAATTTTTTGGCATAGGTATTATTACAACTGAGCACAGACCCTCGAAGATATCTTAAATCAAAAAATTAAATGTTGCTATTTTTTTCAAGCCGCGATTGCCCAAATACCACCCGTTAAACGCGAAAACTAAGTATGCAGATATGCTTATATACGTCTATATTAACATGTTTTAATGCCAATAGGCCTGCACCTTTTAATAAAGTCCATTTTGTTGACCTGTGTTATTTGGAATTAGTTAAATCAAATGAATGCACTAACTTCTTTACTTTAGTTTAGTCGTCGGCACACACCTACGTTGACATTTTGTTTTATATTTCTGTGAGTAATTTGCACTGGGCAGCTTATCGATGTGTGTGTGCAGACGTCTGTTCTACAGTATACGTGAGCGTGCAGTGGCTGAGCAGAACAAAACCCTATGCTCACTTAATAGGGCGCTGCCAACCGCTGCTTTAGATTCACGTCGCAAAACAAATAGCGCCGTGCTTTTACACAAGCGAAACCTTTTTACAAATTCTTTGTCACTGTAATGTTCGATGTAATTTCTTTGGTCTTGATATCTGCGCCGATAGGTTCGCACCTCAGACAATTCAACCATATACCACAGAGTTTGAAGATAAATCTCTCGAGAATTCATTTTAAAATAAATTGGATGACTTTAACAATTTTGATTTTTATTTAATTGTAAATTAACAGCTGTAAGAGCTGATTAAGCTGTTGTCGAATGAAGAGTGGAACCAGATTGACAACGCTCGAATGTCTGGCAACACTTGCGCACAAATCCAACCGCACAAATTGGAAACGGTAGATGAAGTACCGAGACAAAATTTGTCGTTACCTGCGTTAACATAAGGACAAGTAAACCATTTTTTGTTTATCACTCCGTTGTCCCGGCAGGCAAACTAAAGTACGGACGAGAAAACGGCCCTAAGAGTAACAGGTATAATTCGATTTTTCGTTGGATAGTATGTAAAAGGAAATAGGAAGCATTTCCGAACCTATAAAGTGTATAAATTATGGATCACTTTAAATCCCATAAACCTCAAATCCTTCCACATTTTTGATTAAATGGGCTTGTACTCAGCCTAACAAAAACTGGCCCCAAAAAACTATTTTCAGTCAATTATCTCTTGATTTGGTAATATACGAGCAATATTTTTCGGTCACACTGGATCAAAACCATATACAAACCTAAAATTTAAATATTTAACTTGTATTTTACAAGAGAAATCAACCGTATGATGTAATATAATCCATTGTATATAATCCATTCTGCCTTTGAGAATGTATTTTAGCCATTTTCGTTAAGGATTTAAGGGGTTATAAACAGTTGTACCGCACAAAAAATTAAAATTTTACCGATTTTTTTTTTACACCAAAAAAAATACTTATTAAAAATGTTTTGCCGGCGTTGTTTAGTACATGTTTCTGGGTACTTATTAAAATTGTTTCATAAAAAAATATTAAATAATAAAAATGTTATGGCCAAATTCCAAGATCGTCTTTTTTCGATAGTGACTTGTGGTGAACATCATATCCCAAGAACGGTTCATCTCAAATCCCCAATTCAAAAAAATTTCATTAGTATATTGCCTAGTCCCTGAACGAAGGATTTGTAAACATTTTGATTAAAAAAAAATGGCGACGGTCTTAACAAAAAAAGTACTTTTTCAAGGTATACAATTTTGGATTTTATGCTCTAAAAAAAGAAGTTTTCAAAAAAAATTGAAAATCCTTCGTTCAAGGACTAGCTATTGTTATAATAAATAAGTGGTCAAACTTTTGTGTCGATCGGATTAATAGTTTTTTAGTAATCGTGTCCACCGCAAAGGTAATTTCGAAAAAACGAGATTCTGAGATAATCGCGTTTAAAGTTTCAAGTTTGTAAGGGCCGATGTGCAGGTAGTGCGCTATAAATAGCTACAACTTCGGTTATAAAGCTCCGATCGTTTTGAATTGTTGTGAGGGTATTCTCACCAGTATATACTTAAAAAATATGCAATAAAAAAAATCGATGTTTTCATCTATCACAACTGTATATAACCCCTTAACTAGGTTGTTATCGGAATTGATCGATAGCTCAAGAAATATATAAAATTAATTATTTCTTGAGCGGTATTTTAGTATTTAGCCCTTGACGCAGACACCTATTCCTTACATTTTTGCCTTGCATGGTCATCCTTTCGCTAGATGACTCCACACTATTGTAAAAATTAGGACGGCGACGGCGCGATTTAGCGAAGCGTTGGAACCGCTGACCATGCTAGGCAGAAATGTGGACGCTTTAATCAAAAAATGGAATGCTAGCAGTCGATTTACTGCTTGCATGACGTCAGTTCCTTAAGCTTAGTAACAGGTATCTAATAGTCGATGTGCTTGACTATAGCGCCCTTATTAATGCAAAGATATTTTGTAGTGCAATCAATTGATTGGATTTGTCAATCTTCTTCAATCAACTTCAACTTAAAAATAGTCATTACTTACAATACTTTGTACAAATTATTTCTCTGTCCTGGGCTAGGTTATTCTATCAGTAAGAATTGGTATATTTGTACATTTATTTCCAATTATTATATTTTTGTCAGGACCATGATCAATCATTATGAAGAAATTTTTAAGATATCAGCAGAATTGCTTAATGTTATCTATACTCAAGTCCTGGAATCTTGTCCTGAAAAATTATACGAGCTAATTTCAACGAAAATAAGTGGATCCGAATGGTAAGGCCTCAAAAATATATTTGTTTGGTTTTTTACAGGTAAGTATCGTTATCAGCAGTGTTTACATTATTGTATTTGAGGGTATCACAATTTTTTTTCAACCAAGGACTGTTTTTTTGTATACCCTTGCAGAAGGTATAATGATTTCAGTCAGAAGTTTGCTTGATTAGACGTGTCGATCTAACCATGTCTGTCTGTTCGTATGAACGCTGCGATCTCGGAAACTATAAAAGCTAGAAATTGGGATTCACCATGCAGATTCTTGAGGTTCCTACGCAGCGCAAGTTGGATTCAGATTGTAATGCCCATGAAGTGAATTTAAAAGGTGCTTGGCGCCCAAACCTTTAAGGATTTCGAAAAATGTTGTTTTTCTATTAATACCTATCAAAATGTAGGAGACATTTTTCAAATCGGACCATTCATTAAAAAGTTATGAGCAAATAATGGAATTCGAGCAGTGCACTATGGGGCATTTGACCACTTTTCTTGGCCGAAATTAATAACTCGGTCAATTCAAAAGATATTGACTTGAAAGTTTACCAGTCGCCATTTTTTATCCATACGCATATTATATATGAGAATCATCCGGATCGGAAAACTATGTCATATAGCTGCCATAGAAACGACCAAATTATCGTTGCTGTTTTTGGAGATAAATGCACATAACTTTAGAAATAGCAATATCTTAAAACAATATTAAAAGTTTCGTACAAATAGGATGACTATATCCTAAAGTTCTCAAAAAGAGGTGACAAGGAAAGAATTTGCTCTACATTTGTGCGTCTTTTTGTTCAAGTTGTAGCGAAACTTTCGTTTTAAAGCCGCTAAAGTCCACTTAAGTTAGTCAATTACAAAGCTAAGTATTTCTACTCTATTTTGATAATAATTTAAAGCCAGAAAAGTCCTTACTTCCTTAGCAACCAGTGCAAACGATAGGAGTGTGTGAAATTTGAGGTTATGGTCTAAAAAATTAAATTACAGAAAAAGTGGCAATAAGTGGCGATTCTGACCATATACATTTTAACAACAATTAAATAATCTACAAATCCCAATAGGTTCCAGAAGTGAACTCCGCTGGACTTACATTGTTACTCCATTTGAAATATAGTTTTCTTACGAAAATGTACTTGTTAGACCACTCCCTTAAACACTCATTTATAAGAAAAATCCGTCTGGTTTTTGTCGTCTAACCACACAACTACTTAGTACATAGCATAGTCCTTTAAATCCAATCCAAAAAGTTTACTTAGATTGCTTAAAACTCAAATTTAAAGCACTTTAAAACAGCAAGCAAAAAGTCGAAATACAACAGCCCGATAATTGAATTTCGAACAGCTGATTTAACAGCTTCTAACTTAACAGAGGCGACCTCTATCGGATTTCTGTAAACGTAACATTGTTAAATGGTCATCCTCAATCAACATTTTTTGTTTTAACGACTTTTAAAAAATGGGTTTTGGCTAACCAAGGTGGTCAAATGCCCCATAGTGCAGTGCAAGCAGTCACTCTGCTGCATGCATATCTCCATCTCCCTCGCATTTCTTTTAGCTGTGTGTCTGACAACAGCACTCTCTCTCTTGTTTTCTTTATTCTTAAAAAGTAGTCCAACAAAATTTACATTTTTTTTATTATTTTCTGACATAACGTAGTGTTGCACCCTAGGTTCCCAAATAATTCTTTTTTTTTGTAAAAAGTTTAGATATGCGGTTTTAGTAAGCAAGAAAAGATTGTAATTTATAAAATATTGCAGGACTATAAAACGAAAACAAGAGAAACCTCTAAAGTTTACTACCTCGACTCTCAGATTCCCGTTCCTCAGCTAAAAACGTCTAAGGGAGATGGAGATATACATACATGCATCAAATTGACTGCCTGCACTGCTTGAAATCCATTATTTGCTGCGTAGGAACCCCTATGTTCTATGTGGTGAGTCTCAAGGATCAGGATCACTAGCCGAGTTGATCCAGACATGTCCGCCTGCCCGTCTGTCAGCCTCATTATAGAAATTTTTTCTCAGCCTATACGATTTGACGCAGGTGCAAGCAAAACAGACATATGTCAGATTTAATAAGCAATTAATAATGCGGTTATTCCACGAAATTGCTCGGCTCATTCATTAGAGCATTTTTTCACAGCCTATATGATTTTACATAGCTCTATGGGACGTTTGACCTGATTTTTTGGCCTTAATTCATCATTTTAAAACAAAGCAAATTTTTTGACTTTTCTTTTGGAAAATGGTTTAAATTATTAAAATACATTCTTTTATATTATTAATTATACACAGTACACAATAAAAAAAATTTTCTTTTAAGCTAACAAAAAAGAATGTTTTTCTTTTCCTGTAAAGTCCCACTTTTTTGTATACCAAATACTGGTTATATCGAATAAAAATATATTTATCATAAAAAGAAGACGCGAAATGTTTTCAAATCAAATATTATGTTATAGCGAAGACAATTGCATTCAATTTATTTGACATTCCATCTTACCGAGCAAGAGGAAGACAAATAAACGGTTAATTTGACCCTTTTTAGTACTGGCGTAAAAATTGCAAATGTAAACACGTTATGTTCACTTGCTGCGGCTGACTTTAACAGCTGTTACTTTAACATTGGACTGTTAACTTAACATTAGCGGTATGTAACATTTCATTTTGATCTATTCTTAATACGGTTCCAATCATGTTTCGAATACTTGTAACAAACACATTTATGCCAAGAAACAGGTCAAATGCCCCATAGTGCATAGGCGCCACTAGGCTATAGGCCGTACTAACGGCTAGTAAGGCTTTGCATGAATCTTATAGCCTTTTCCCACAGAGTCCATCCGTATGAAACGGTTAGGATTTTTGACGAATGTGAAACTCGTGTTCCCACAGAGCACATCCATCTACCAATAACAGCTGACTTGAAGAGCAGTTGCTCAACTCAACATTAACGAAGGGGATTTCAAATAGTCAAAATAAAATTGCGTTCTCCTGACCTTATTGTAAAATAATACAATAAAGCATAAGATAATATTTTAAAACATATCTGAGAGCCTAACCTCCAGTACACCACGCTCCGCTTTTTCCACGCCTGTGACTAGCCAATATTAATATGAAACATTTTTAAACAAAACCAGATTAGTGCTGTTTTTATAATATACAGCAACTTTGGAACTTTATAGGACTGCATAGTACACTTTTAATTAATATTAGTTATTTCTGACGAAATGCAGAAGACTCTACTGCAAACATTGCAAACGCTTTTCCGCCAGAAAACAATGAGCTTTCGCTTTTTTAAATTTTTTTCCGCCATCGATTCGATTTCTTCCCGTAGTCATCGTTTCATTTTTCACAGTCAAGAGGAAGAATTTAAAGTTGCACCGAAAAAACATCGCCTAATTAACGGACTTACTGGGACATTTTCGGAACGGCAAAACCTTACGGACCAACCGTTCCACGGATGATGGATGAATCTCTGTGGGAAGACCCAATAAAAAGTTAAATGTGGCTCATTCATTAGAGCTACTTTGATATTAGATCAATAATTCAAATTAATACGATGCTTTTTGGTTGAATTTTCAAACATTTTGCGACTTTTAAGGTGGTATTAACAAATAATAACTATACAAATATTATTTCAGCGGCCTAATTACTCCTTCGCTAACTAAAATATTTCCCACTCATCAAAATTAAGACATCTAAAAATTCAATTTTTTCAAAAATTATTTATTAAAATTCTGTGTGCGACTTGAGCTTTGATCACTTAATTATTTTAAAACCTTTTCGACTTGTTATAAACAATTTTTAACCTATTTTTTGTTTCAATAAGGAACCTACAACAATTAGACGAGCAACCAAAAAGTTTGTCTGATGGCGTCTTTGAGCCTCCGATCCAAGAAAAATGGTTTGTAAATTTTTAAAATGTTTTTATGATAATTACATTAACTATTGACACGATTTATTTTAGGCATGACCATATTAATCAATTAAATGGCTTAGAAAAACGACAAAATAAAACAAAGGATTTAAAAGCAACGTCTCAATGTAACTCAAATGACACCAAAAGAGGTCAGGAAGAAAGCTCCGAAATTTTCACCGCTAGTCTGAAAATATCTGTCCCGGAAAAGTCTCTTAAAAACCATAAAGAATCTATAGAAAATAAAGGTTAATACATCTTTCAATTTATTACTAAACGTTTATTTACTTTCTACTTGTTTTATAAACCTAGAAAATAAAACATCATGTCAAAAAATATCTGCGCCCAGATTACCAACCAATATTTCAGACGTTACACCGTTAAGTGCAAATGTTGTTCAAATTGAAAAAACAACGAAAGCAGATACTTCAAATAATTTCGTTGACATCCATCAAGCGGGTATACGGAAGAAAGCAACTTACAAACGGGAGCACTTAATACCTAGCTCACGACGAGTAAACCAAGGACCTTAAATAATAGTTATTATATATTTTTTAAAAATGTTCAGTCAACACCTATTGCCTAATAAATATGGAATTATACCAATGATATTTCTTTGTTGTTAAAAAATATATATGAGAGCCCTGCATAAGTGGAATCATTAGACTCAGTAGAAGTTATAAAAATGATTTCGGTTCTTAGGCGTGTATTTTTAACGAAGCCATTTATGCCAGCTTTCTTGCATTTATTCTAACTTTTTGAACTTTGACGAAGTGTAACTTCTAGCTTCTACTAATGAATGAAACTCAATGCAGTGTATAAGAAAGTTGGAGGGCATTCTATTACCTGTAAAATGCGTCTTTTATGGTTGAAATCGGTTTACCACAACTCGGGTTAAAAAATTAAAAAATGTCAAAAACGTGTTTTAACTTAAAAAAAATCGGCTCCACAAAAAAATTTTAAGAGCCATTTTCTTAATCAGGAAGACGTACCTTCAGTGGTGGACTTTCCATATAGGCAATATAGGCAGCTGCCTAGGGCGGCAAATTTTCAGAGGCGGCAAATTTTCAGAGGCGGCAAATTTTCAGAGGCGGCAAATTTTCGACTGTTAACACTACATAAAATGCATTTAAATGGACACAAACATTTTTTTCTTAAAGGCGAATCCAAAAGTTTTCTCACAAATGCGCAGTTAAAATTCAAATACTTATATATCGATAGGTTGGTCACACTTATACACGATTGTGAAATATCTCGCAATCACATTGTTGACAATCGTAAAAATTTCTTAAAATGGCATTGCATGCATTTTTTAACTTTTAACAAAAATGAGTGACGGGCGAATTCGATTAAACGGTGCCGAATATCGCAAGCAAGCCGCAAAAAGATAAGTTGAAGATAACGAGGTTATAGCAAAAACCAAAAAGATCTCCTCGTATTTCACCCTTCGCGTAAATCAAAGTGATGCGGGAAGTTCGTCCGTTCCTGAAACAAGCCAAATTTCTGAGGAAACACCAGACTTTGCAGGTACCTTATTTTGAATTTCATGATTTTTTGTTCCCTATAATTTATTATTTTTTAATTTTACTCATCATAATTCTTTCAAGGTGGTACTTCTACTTTTCAGTACTTTCAGAATCTACGGAAGGAATAGCATTCGACGTTCATAAAAAGTCAATATTTTTATTCAGCGATGACCCTGCGGAATGGCTCGTAAATGACGAATTACGTGATCATATCGCTAAGTATAATTATAAGAGAAATGAACATCTGGATTTTTTGCAGTCAAAAAGAGATACGCGGTCTTTTAATTCATCCATGTTCGAAAGAAAACTTTTAAATGGCGAAAAAACTACCCGTGTCTGGCTAGTATATTCTGTAAGCAAAGGATCGGTATATTGTGCTCCATGCCTTCTTTTTGGCGGTGAATCTGCTTTTTCTAAGAAAGATGGATTCAGCGATTGGAAAAATGCTAGAATAAGAATGAGTCAACATGAAAATTCTGAAAAGCATCAAACTTGTTTGAAAACTTTTAAAGATAAAGAAAGTGCTTTAGGTCGCATCGACAAAACTGTGATTGCTGAATATGAAAAAGAAGTAGTTTACTAGAAAAATGTTTTGAAACGAGTCGTCGCTGTCGTTATGAGTTTAGCTTTACGTGGATTGCCTTTTAGAGGGCACGATGAAAAGTTTGGTTCTCTTCACAACGGAAAATATTTGATGCTTTTAGAATTGATAGCTGAATTCGACCCATTTCTGGAAGAGCATATTTTGAAACTCGGAAATAAAGGCGTCGGCAATACCAGTTATCTGTCCAAAAGGATTTGCGAAGAGTTTATTCAAATATTTGATATCAGAAGTTTTTGTATGTTTACATTTGCTCTCATAGGAGCTAATATATACATTTAAATTTAAATTGGTCAATCATAATTTTTAAACTATTGTATTTTAACAAATTAAGTTAAAAAGGCGTTGAAGTATTTCAAAATACCTTTTAAACGAAGTATAGCACATGTCTGTACCTTTAGTAGTGTAGAACTTACAAACTAACGAAATTTAGCTATTTTTAGCTTTTTCCCGCTAAAGTAGCGGCTTTTTCCAAAAGTCGTAGAACAAAAGATTCCTATAAGGAACTCTTAAGTGCAAATTTACTGATTCCATGACCCTAAAATACAGTTCGGATACCCTGCCACAAAATTCAATACTCAGGGAGCGTTAGTTGTTCTGAGCTGGCAAAAGTGGCTATTTTCGTTTCTGAATAACTTTTAAACGCGATTTTGTACATAAACATGATATATACCAAAATTTAAGGAATCTCAAGGGCTATACAGTTTAAAGTTATAAGGAAAATCGTTAGAGCCGTTTTTGAGAAAATTAAAAAAAAGCTAAAAAAAAAGTTTAAACAAATTTTCTTTTGTTCATATCTTTTTAACTATTACATTTACACAAATTGCATAGAAGGCGTTTATAACATTTAAAAATACCTTTCAAACGAGATGCAGCACAAGTCTGTAGCTTTAGTAGTATAGAAGTTACGGCTTTCCGAATTTTAGCTATTTATAGCTGTTTTCCCGCTAAACTAGCGGGTTTTTCCAAAAGTGGTAGAACAAAAGTTTTTTATATCGATGTGATGAACGTCATATCAAATTTTCAGAACTTAAAAAACATATTTTGGACAAGTGGACAAGTGGACAAACTGACAAACAGAATTAAATTTTCATTTTGGGAAGAAGAAGAAAATCTTATTTTGGCTATAACTTTTGAACGGAGAGTCGGATTTTGACAAATGACCCCTCATTCGACGGGTATTTTCAAAAGGAATAGAACTAAAACATTGCGAGGGGGCATTTATCCCCACCGGCCCCAACAGGTCCAAATGTCGAAATTTTCACTTTTTTACTTTCACCGCCCTCTCTCCCAAGCCAATTGATTTTCTTAAAGTCTTGGTATGCAATCCTGTTAGTTTTCGCAATACCTTTCGAAAGGTTTATTATTCATTATGATCGGACCATCACAGTAGATTTTCATTTCTTCGTGTATATATAGTAGTCGCCTTCGCACACTCTCCTGGTGCGCTTCGTCACTACATGGACTGCCGTCCATAGTGATAAGGTATTAGATGTAAATATTCAAGATATATCGTGCAAAATGACGCAAGTGTGCTCCAACGCACACTATTACTAATATGTAACCTTTTTTCAAATCAAAAATTTTTTGTAAAAGATATGCCCTTTCAAAGTTGAACAATTTTTCACTTAAAAAAACACACCGTTTTTAGGTAATTTTTCGCACTTCCGGGGGGTTTTTCTTAAAAACTAGGCATCGAATCGCTTTGCTTCTTTTTTCCACAGTTTGGTGTGTTAGTTAAGAGTAAAAAAAAGTAAAACATATTGCAGTTTGCCATCCGCATCTCTTAGTTATGCGTTATTTGGAAAACGTCCATTTTTTCCATATTTTTCAACTTTGATGGAAAATAAAAAAAAAACATTTAATACTATTTTTTTTATACTTCCGTAAAACGTTATTTGGACTTTCTTCTTGATATTACGAAAGTTGTAGCTGCGTCCGCCTGCGTCCGCGGTTTTAAGAGCCAAAAAAGGGAAAAAAGTCATGGTCCAAGAAATTGCATATCGCGCAACCTTGTGAAAGATTTGTCCAAAACATGGTTTTAAAGCAGTGGTGGCCAGCAGAGGCAGCGCGCAGGGCCCACGGGATAGGCAATTTCTCTGCCGCTGCTCTGCCAGCGCGCTGCAGCCTTTCGGCGCACATGTACACTGTCAAGCTGAAAAACGTCACGCACACAGGCAAATTCGTGCACCCAGTCGGAAGTTTTGGAGTGGTCGGTTTTCGGAATGCATCCGGCTCGCATCTTTGTCCACAGTAAAAATGCGATACAATGTTGGACAGCATCCAGAATGCTTTCTAGATGCAACCCAAGTCATCACTCCCCTATAGGTTCTTTTGGAAGGCAAAATGGGAGCGATCCGTGCAATCGTAGCTTCTCGTACGTCGCAGCCGAGCCCTTGCCGAAACTCGAACGCTTGCCGATCGTTCGTTTTGTTTTTTCAATCGGTGCAATTATAGCATCCATCGGAATGCATCCGGAGTGCATCCATTGGAAAGGAAAATATGAAATAATAATCTTTGAAACGGTAACTTTTGAAAAAAACAAATGAGAAGAACAAAAGAGACATAGCAAGAACGCGCGCGGTTTTTTCGTTTCTTATGCATTTCTTGTCACTTGCTTTTTGGAATTTGACCAGTTAAGTGTGATTGATTTTTCGGTTAAACCAATTTTAATCGTTTTATTTGTTTATAGTTCTTGAAAAACAATCATTTGTGCTTTTTTGTGCCAAGTAAGTATAGTGCGGTGATAAGTGGAAATATTAAATAAAAAATAATACCTCTTAACGAGGTAAAATAGCCATAACCAAATAAAAGTGTACTTAATTTTTTTAACCAAACAAAAATAATTGGGTGTGTGTTTAATAAACAGCGTGCTTTTAAAATAATTCTTATTCGGCCACTGCATCGCGTTGTTTAAGGTTTTTACCTATGCACAGTGTTTGTACATACAGTGAACCCCACGCATAGTCGGACACCCATTTTTGTTCTATCATAAAACTGCTCTAAAATCATACAAAAAAAGTGAAATACAATTTTTTGGCTCTTCTTTAAATTTTTGTGTTATCTATGAATAGCCTCCATATTTAAAACACACGTGTAAAAAATCAATAAAAATCAATTATAAGTTGTGTTTTAAATATGGAGGTTTTTTGTTTTTGTTAAAATATTAAGAGCTGTCAGTGAAAAGCTTAAATTATTTTTTATATTACTAATGAAAAAACGGGTGTCCGATTATGCGTGGGGTTCACTGTACCTGCAGTGTGCCGAGTGAGAATTTTTCACAACATTGTACTAACCAATTATTGTTTTTATTCTTTGCATGACCTCATGGACGGATTTTTGATAACGGAAGAACAACAACATCAACAACTGTAAGTATTAAATTTAATTTTAGTTTTTGTGTAACAAAAGTGCCGTTTTGGTTTCAATTGTAGGCAAAAGGAAGGGTTCTCCACATTT